AACCCTTGCGAACACACTATAACAAAGCAAATCGACACAATGAGGGTCATTTAGTGCTGGGAAAAAGTAAGATGGACAGACAGAACAACTGAGGGAAAGTAAAGAAGTAGTAAAGAAGAAGGACCTACCAGTTGCACCCGCCAACCATCCACCAACAACACATACGACAACAGTACAACGGTAAGGACATCTCAGCATGGAGTACATGTATCTATGTATCTATTACATGTCCTGTCTTGTTGTGTGAATACGTGAGTGCACCTAACCTTTGTAACATACGCTGCCAGAAACAACACACACAACAATAGTACAACGGTACGGACTTTTCAGCATGGAAAACATGTATCTATTATATGTCCTGTCTTGTTGAGTGAATACGAGAGTGCACCTAACCTTTGTAACATACGCTGCCAGAAACAACACATGCAGCAATAGTACAACGGTACGGACTTTTCAGCATGGAAAAGATGAATCTATTATATGTCCTGTCTTGTTGAGTGAATACGAGAGAACACCTAACCTTTGTAATATCCGCTGCCAGAAACAACAAACACACAACAGGACAATGGTAGGGACTTTTCAGCACAGAAAACATGTCTTTATAATGTATTTATTAATGTCCCGTCTTGTTGAGCGTATGCATGAGTGCACCTAACCTTTGTTTGTTTTGTTTTGTTTTGTTTGACTAAAGAGAAGCACACCAACACAACAATGGTCGTTTAGTGCCGGGAAGAAGTGAGACAGACAGATAGAACGACAGAGGGGAAGAAAAGAAGTAGGACCTGCCAGTGGCGCCTTCCAGCCACCCACCCTAACCTTTTTTAGTTTAGTATGGGGTTTTACGGCGCTCGCAACTGCATAAGGTTATATGAGCGCGCCAAACACTAGTTAGTTTTATTCGCAACAGTTCACTGCACTGCCATTGTAAAGGACCAAAAACAAATTTCTCCATGTGAGATGAATAAAAGTTGTCATTGTTATTTGTCGGCTCTCAACATAATGGCAGGAAAGAGTCAGAAAAGCCTTTGAAACAGTAATTTAATATTGAATATCCTTTGTATACTTCAAATTCCAGCTCAACAGCAAGCTTTTTGTATTCTTTACAATCAAAATCTAGTCAAAAGAAGACACAAAAAAAGAAAAGAATGAAATAAAACACGCGAAAAAACTCCCCACAAACAAAACACAAAGCCTCACCACATGATGACGGTCAGCCTCTTCTTTCGCTTTTTTGGCGTTCATCTTTTTCTTCAGCGCTGCCTCCTCCTCCTTCCTTATTCTCTCCGCTTCCATCTTCATCTCGTACTGCACGAGGAAAGAGAGAGAGAAAAGTCAGTTATTGTTATTTAAACAACTTTCTACAGAATACGAACAGAATACTTCAGTGTACCGAAAACAAGGCATCATTGTTTTTCTCATTGTTTTTTTTTTAAATATTGTTCTAATGCTCTTCTTTAGTTTTAGTAAGAGTTTTACGGCATTGGCAACACAATAAGGTCATATAAACACCGAAGATTAGAGATGTTACAAGAGAGTAACAAACACAAAAAAGGAGAAGAGATAAAGACGATAGATGTTTGATAGGAAAAAAGAAGCAAACCACACCAGAGCACCCGCCAACCAGCTGCTGTTATAATGCGCACATGACCTCTTGAAAAATGTTTTCTGCTGTTTTCATGCACACTAGATCTGCAATTTTTTTCTTCGGTTTTCACTTTATGTAAAAATCGCTCGACTTCGTATGTAACCTATCATCCCCCCCTCGCTCACCTCTATCCTCAGCCTGCGCAGTTTCTTCTGTGCCAGGAGTGTGCGGACAGACGCCTGGATCTGTACCACGGCCAACATCCGCTTCTGTACCCACTGACGCACCAGGTAGCCTCGGCAGAACCGCTGGAACAGGAATAAAAATAACAATTATTGTAACAACAATAATAATTACTTTTGTAATAAAAATAGTTATAAATGTAATAACAATAACAAGAATACTAAGAATATTCAAAACCATTATAATAATAATAGCTACCATGATCAGCGTTAGCTCTTATTTTACTATTAAACAAGAGAAAGTTACTCTGAGTTTGTTCATGAATCATGCTGAGTCTGTGGCAGCCTGCATACAACTAAAAAGATATAATATAAGCGATTTTTTTTAAACCACAAAACCGTGTAAATACTGTGTGTGTCCCGATTCTGTTACTTTTAGTTAGCGTGACTCAGCAGCCCGCCGGAGCTCCCCGCCTCGGGGTCACGGGGTTAATGAGCCCTGAAGCGACTTTGCCGGTGTCGGTCAGGAAGTTCGCATTTTTGACTATGTTTAAAACGATATAACTTCTTCCCCATCCCACATACCAAACCATTACGCGGATACACTAAAAGCTCAACGTCTTGAGATTTATTCTGCGTTAGAATGGTTTATTTCTGTGCCTTAGTTTTTGTTCTAGACAAGTATTTGTAGAGTACCCAATTTGTCCTATTTTAGTTACAAACTTATGAATAA